GGGGTGTAGAAAATGCTCTGACGTTAAATGGTGGCAATGATTGCACAATTTGTGAATATACTAAAAATCACTGAACTGTACACTTAAAACAATCAGTGCCCTAACAATAAAGTACTAGTTCCTGTTTAAAAAAAAAAACAAAGCATCAAACAAAATACTGATATTTGAAAATCTGATTATGTCCCAAAAATTATATTAAAAGTTATTACAATTAAGATGAAAATGAAAACACTAAAAATCATAATAATTTTCTTTAAGTGGCATCTATTTTCCTTAAATAGAATTTTATCATTGCTTTTTTTTTTTTTTTTTTTTTTTTGCGGTACGAGGGCCTCTCACTGTTGGGGCCTCTCACTGTTGTTGCCTCTCCTATTGTGGAGCACAGGCTCCAGACGTGCAGGCCCAGTGGCCACGGCTCACGAGCCCAGCCGCTCCGCGGCATGTGGGATCTTCCTGGACCGGGGCACGAACCTGTGTCCCCTGCATCGGCAGGCGGACTCTCATCCACTGCGCCACCAGGGAAGCCCTGTCATTGCTTTTATATATCATAGAGTGTAGATGTAAAAATGTGTCATCAAAGCTACATTTGTATAGGATAATGGCTAATAAAATGGCAAAAAAATCACTCCTTCTTTCTTTTATTAGGATAATTATCATAAAATATTCTGCAATGATTATTTTTCAGTAGGAGGCAAATCACGTCTATTCATTGATTATGCTGCACTTTCTCCCTTTCTTCAACATGCTTACAATTTTACAAAAAAATTGATCAATGAAGTTTAATAAAGTACAGCCATAGTTAAGGCAGGTATTTGCAACTATTGAAGTTTATTCTCTAGTTTTTTCACTTTGCACTGACTATTCATTGACTCATCAAAAATTTCACCATTGTTCCTTTTGAAATACAGTGTGTGTATACGTGTTTTTAATTTTGGAAAAGAAATGGCAACCAGTCCAAGGAAACTAACTATAATCTGATATTCATTAAAACAAGGATCACTCTTAAAAGATAATTATAAAAATATGACAATTATCTCATAACCTCAGATGATATAAATTGACCTACAGCTCTAAAGCTCAATCCGTTATCCTTTAGAAAATGGCAATGTAAAAACCTAGAGAAGCTCCTGAAGGTTTAAAACACTGGAGGATAAAATTTCCATTATGTTTAACATCATTCCAGCACTGTTACTGTGGATATACAATAGATTTTAGAGGGCACTGATCATACTGGATTTGAATTGTAATTATCACATGTATCAATTGCTATCTTAATAGATTTCTTAACTAAAATACATTACAATTATAATGTTTATTACACCTTTCTTACAAGAAGCTTGCTTTTCAGAATTCTCTCACTAATCCATGAAAAAGGAGGGAGAAATCAGAGATTAATATCCCTATTTCATTTTTTAATAAGAGAAAGTGAGAAATGAAAAGCCATCAATAAGATTCTGTACATTAAAAATCCCATTGAGGACACGGGGAGGGGGAAGGGTAAGCTGGGACAAAGTGAGAGAGTGGCATGGACTTATATACACTACCAAATGTAAAACAGATAGCTAGTGGGAAGCAGCCACATAGCACAGGAAGATCAGCTCAGTGCTTTGTGACCACCTAGAGGGGTGGGATAGGGAGGAAGGGAGGGAGACGCAAGAGGGAGGGGACATGGGGGTATATGTATAAGTATAGCTGATTTACTTTGTTATACAGCAGAAACTAACACACCATTGTAAAGCAATTATACTCCAATTAAGATGTTTAAAAAAAAAAATCCCAAAGAACCTACAAAGGAGCTACAAGGACTAATAACTGGGTCCTGATCAACATATAAAAAACAGTTGTACTTTTAGGTACCAGAAATAAAAAATTGGAAATTGACTTTTTTAAACTACTATTTACAATAGAACCCCAAAACATGAACTACTGAGGTACAAATCCAATAAATATGTTCAAGATCTGTATGCTAAAAACTACCAAATGCTGGCAAAAAAAATTTAAATACTTAAATAAACATGAGATATACTGTGTTCATGGATTGGAAGACTCAATATTGTTAAGATGTCAATTCTCCCAAATTAATTTATAGATTTAATGCAAATTCCTTCAAAATCCCAGTAGACATTTTTGTAGAAATTGGCAAGCTTATTCTAAAATTTTCATGGAGAGGCAAAGGAACTGCAATAAGCCAAAACACTTTTTACAAAGAACAAAGCTGAGATTTACCATGAAGCTGTAATACTTAAGACGGTAAGGAACTGAAGAGAGATAGACACATAGATCAGTAGAACAAAACACACAGTCCAGAAGTAGACTCACATATATTTTGTCAACTGATTTTCAACACAAATGCAATGACAATTCAAAAGAGAAAGAACAGTTTTTTCAACAAATGTTGCTAGAATAATTGGATGGCCACATGCAAAGAAATAAACCTTAATTCATACCTTATTCCACAACATTTTACCCAAAATGGATCATAGACCTTAATGTAAAACCTAAAACTGTAACTATAAACCTAAACTACAAAAGTAAACATAGGAGAAAAACTTTGTGACTTGGCAAAATTTCTTAGATATGATATGAAAGTACAACTCATAAAAGATAGATTAAGTTGGACTTCATCAAAATTAAAAACTTCTGCTTTGCGACATAAAGAACAGCTTTGTGGTTGCCAAGGGCGGTGGAGGGAGGGATGGATTGGGAGTTTGGGGTCAGCAGATGCAAACTATTATTTATTGAATGGACAAACAACAAGGTCCTGCTGCAGAGCATAGGGAACATATTCAATATCCTGTGATAAACCATAATGGAAAAGAATATGAAAACGAATGTATATATATGTATAACTGAATCACTTTGCTGTACAGCAGAAATTAACACATTGTAAGTCAACTATACTTGAATAAAATAAATATTTTTTTAAAACTTCGGCTTTGCAAAATACACTGCTAAACGAAGGAAAAAGAGAAGCCACAGACTGGGAGAAAATGTTGGCAAAACGTATGTCTGATAAAACACATGTCTGATATATGTTTGGATCCTAAATTTATAAAGAACTATCAAAACTTAATAATAAGTAAACAAACAACCCAATTTTAAAAACAGGCGAAAGATCTGAACAGACACCTCATTAAAGAACTGATTTGCTATGGGTAGCAAATAAGATTATGAAAAGATGCTCCCCATTACATCATTAGGAAAATACAAAATGATACCCTAATAAGAAACCAGAACAAACCTATTGGAACGAGAGGAGAAAACTCAGAAAACCAAGTGCTGATGAAGATGCCAAGCAAGCAGAATTCCCCCTGCACTGCTGGTGGGAATGCGGATAATACAGCCACAGCCTGGCGATTTCTTATAACATAACGGACACCCAGCAATTCTATTTCTAGGGATTTACCCAACTTCAACAAACACTCGTGTTCACAAAAAAGTAAAAATGAAAAATAAAATAAAGGGCTTCCCTGGTGGCGCAGTGGTTGAGTGTCCGCCTGCCGATGCAGGGGACACGGGTTCGTGCCCTGGTCTGGGAAGATTCCACATGCCGCGGAGTGGCTGGGCCCGTGAGCCATGGCCTCTGAGCCTGCGCGTCCGGAGCCTGTGCTCCGCAACGGGAGAGGCCACAGCAGTGAGAGGCCTGCGTACCGCAAAAAAAAATAAAATAAAATAAACACTATTCAAATGTTTGTAGCGACTTTATTCATAATCATCAAGAGTTGTAGGGAAAAAATCCAAATTTTTTCGACTGGTGAATGATAAAGTCGGGTATATCCATACAGTGGACCCCTACTCAGCTATAAAGATTAATAAACACGAAACAATCTCAAATGCATTTTGCTAAGTGAAAGCAGCCAGACTGGGGCTTCCCTGGTGGCACAGTGTTTGAGAGTCCGTCTGCCGATGCAGGGGACACAGGTTCGTGCCCCAGTCTGGGAAGATCCCACATGCCGTGGAGCGGCTGGGCCCGTGAGCCATGGCCGCTGAGCCTGCACGTCCGGAGTCTGTGCTCCGCAATGGGAGAGGCCACAACAGTGAGAGGCCCGCGTACCACAAAAAAAAAAAAAAAAAAAAAAAAAAGCAGCCAGACTCAAAGGCTTACATTCTCTATGATTCCATCCATACAATATTCTGGAAAATAGAGGGAGAGGAGACAGATGAGTGGCTGTCAGGGAGTGAGGGTGGGGAGAGGGTCTGACCACAAAAGGCACAAGGGAATTTTGTGGGTAACGGGATTATTCTATATCTCGACTGTGTAGTAGTTAGGCGACGGTACGCGTTTGTCTTTCTGTATGTAAATGATACCTCAATTTTTAAAAGCATATAGCTTTCACATTTTACCATTAACACCTTAAAACATTAGGTTAAAACATTCTAAATGGTATTTTTATATGGTATCATTATTGGCCAACACTTGGAAGACATTTCCATTGATATTTCCTTAGGCCAGAATATTGGTTTTTCTGAACAAAGGATTGACAACTGAAAGAAAAAAAACCATATCAAACCCACTTTGAAACTTTGAAGCTTTCTCCCTCTGTGGGAGAAAAACTGTAAATAGCAAATCCCTGTCCTTCATCATTTCCCTCCACAGACAAATGGAGCAGTAAGATCCTCGTTCTTGTTTTAATTCCAGCAACAGTTCCTTTGATTCTGGGACAAAATTCATCATAATCAGTCTGGATTATTTTCACATTTGCTAGCAGTTTGCAGGATTTGACCAACAGTCATATGGATAATTTGAAATATTTGTTTGTTCCTATCACGCTAAACATAATCCATTGCATTCTGTAGCAAAGTAATTCTTTATGCCTGAAAAAAAAAATCAGAACCTTCTGTTTTAATGGAAACTCTTTTTATATAGGATCAAATCCCTGTCTTAAAAAGCATCAAGTAAAAACCTTAACAAATAATCACCAAACTACAGAAGATACAAAACACCAATCTGTGAACCAAACAGTGAAACAGAATAAAATGTCAATCCATCATGTACTTACCTCAGAGAACTGCTGAGCACTCAAGCTTCTTTTCTTCCCTTTGCCTAACTACTAAGTGGGTGGAAATGTTTTCCTTTCATTTACTGGAAACAAAAGTGATGCTGCATCAGCAGATAGGCTACGAAATAAAATAAAAACAAAAAAAAAGACAAGATGATGCCTAGTTAAACGTGAACAGAAAACGACAAGAGGCTTCGTAAGGGTGTGAATTTTTGCGATCAAAAACTGTATTTGTAAAAACTAAAATGTGGAAGGAAAACACCTAACACCTCCTCAAGAACAGAAAGAGGACACAGCACATGCCAGGTCCCAAAATGCAAGAGAGACAGAATGGAAGATAAGATGAAGGTGAGTGTCTGAGAGAGGAGGAGAAAAGTCAGCTGAGCTGAACCGATGGACAGTGGAAAGTGATTTGTAAATTGTAAATACAAGCAGAAACACAGGGTGAGTGTGAAACCCATTGTTCTATTTTGGAACCCACCACCCAAAATACTTAGATTTTGAATTGAGATATTATAAATGAAAAATTGTCAGTAGAGAGAAATGTTATCTCAATTAGTGATTATGCTAAGAAAAACTTCTTCATTAGAAATTGCAAGTTTAGGGACTTCCCTGGCAGTCCAGTAGTTAGACTCCATGCTTCCACTGCCAGGGGCACAGGTTCAATCCCTAGTCAGGGAATTAAGATCCCATGTGCTGAGCAGTGTGGCCAGAAAAAAGAAAAAGAAAAAAATTTCAAATTTAGACTCATTTACTCAGGAAGAAACCAGCACTGCGAGAATTTCATAGTCATCCAAAGGGAAAGAAAGTTTTAAAAAACAGAATGGATAGCAAAATGTATTCCAACTAGGGCTTTTTTAATCTACAGAGAGACAGCTGGGTCAGTTAACTGCTCTTAATGAATCCATGTTGGAATAAAATATTGTCCAGAAATAAGATTATTACTGGGGAGGTTGGAGAAATCATGTACCACAGGAGAAGTAAGGAGATCTCTTAGCAGTGTGCAAACATTAGTCCTGAAAAGGGGAGGAAGGTCAATTCTGGAAACTACAGACTGACAAGACCTGGACCTCAGGAAAGAGTCAGGCTGAGAAGGTTTATGCACAGCAGCAAAAAGGAAGCAGTCTCCTGCTGTATGTGACAACACGGACTAACCCAGATGACACCGTGCTGAGTGAAGTAAGCCTCCACAGAAGGACAAATACTGCATGAGTCCACTTCCACAAGGGATCTAAAATAGTCAAACTCACAGAAGCAGAGAGTGGAATGAGGGTTGCCAAGGGCTTGGTAGACGGATAAAGAGGAGCTGTGTTCAGTGGGTATAAAGTCTCAGTTATACGGGATGAATAAATTCTAGAAGTCTAGGCCTTCCCTGGTGGCCCAGTGGGTAAGAATCCGCCTGCCAATGCAGGGGACACGGGTTCGAGCCCTAGTCCGAGAAGATCCCACATGCCGCAGAGCCACTAAGCCCGTGCGCCACAACTACTGAGCCTGGGCTCTAGAGCCCACGAGCCACAACTACTGAAGCCCGCATGCCACAACTACTGAGCCCGCATGCCACAACTACTGAGTCCACGTGCCACAACTACTGAAGTCCACGTGCCTAGAGCCCGTGCTCCACAGCAAGAGAAGCCACCGCAATGAGAAGCCTGTGCACCACAATGAAGAGTAGCCCCCACTCGCCACAACTAGAGAAAGCCCGTGTGCAGCAGCAAAGACCCAACGCAGCCAAAAATAAATAATTAATTAATTTATATATATATATATATATATATATATATATATTATAGAAGTCTACTGCTCAATACAGTGCCTACAGTGAAGAATTCAATATTGTACACTTCACAATTTGTTAGGAGGGCAGACCTCATGGTAAGTGTTCTTACCACCAAGACAAGAACAACTACAAAACACAAAAGAGTAGGAGGAAACTCTTGGAGGGGATGGATATGTTTATACCTTGACTGTGGTGATGGTTTCACAGGTGTGTGCATATGTCCACTCATCAAACTGTATACATTAAATACATCCAGGATTTTGTTGGGGGGTTTTTTGTGTATCAATTAAACTTCAATAAACCTGTTTTGTTTTGTTTTTTAAGAAAAATGTGAGAAAGCAAATAATAAAAAAAAATGAGTCAAAAAAAATATGTAGGGACTACAGAAGACAGTATGGATGGCTAGGAATGAATCATGGCAGGGTAGCGGGTTTTCTTTTTTAACTAGGAAGCCAACATCACTGGGTGTGGGATAAAGGAAAACAGTGTAGCTGGACTTTAGTAAGACATGTGAACAACTCTCCCCTGACACCCTTCATTCGCCCATTTATTCAACAAATACTATGGACCAACCGCCTAAGACATCCAGGCACTGTCTTCCGAGCTGGGACACAGTGATGAATTCCACGTGGAGGTGACATTCTGGCTACACGCTCATCTACACATCCTTGTAGTCAAGAAAGAGGGACACGCGCTGTAAGAGAGCATCACTGAGTAGAGTATAAGCTCAGTGAACAACAGCCTCCCAGGAGTGCTGCCAGAAGAGCAAAAGTACAGGTTACAGGTGGGGAGGTCTCAGGGTTCTGCCTCATTCTGTGGCTGCTTCCTTCACACAACGTGGATGAGAAGACTGATGGCATGGTGGTTACAGCTGTGGGCGGCACAGGGGCAACCAGATGACTGGATGATGAAATTAGGATCCAGCAGTCCCCTCAAAACCCCTGGCAGTCGGGCAAGTCAAACACAATAAAATTTCAAAAGGAATATATTTAAGGTTCTTTATTTGCTTCAAAAAACTAAAACCCACTTGGGTCAAAAGAAAAAAAAACCTCCATGAATGTGGTTTATATAAGATTGTTATATGGGACAGATGACGACTTAGAAGCATAACTAAAAATTCCATGTGAGTTGAGAGTGTCATGTGTCGTCTAATTTGAAGATGAGGAAGGCGGTCATCCGTTCTCCTCTGTGCTGGTTGGGCCACATCTGGGGCCATGTCTGGGTCCAGGAGTCACACTTTAGAAAGATCATCATACAAACTCTAGCTTCTGTTAAGAGGAGAGTTACCAGCCTGGGGAGGTTAGTTTATATGAAGAACTTGGAGAATAGAAGATTCACTGGGGACAGGAGATGGTCCCTCAAATCTTTGAAATTCTAGCCCATGGAAGAAGAATTAGATTCCTTCAGGGTGATCCCCAGGGGGTAAAATTAGACCAGTGGGTGGGAAGTGCCAGGGAGCCTGGTTTCAGTCACGTTTACAGAAGGCATTTCCAACAGGGGTGCCCAAGGTAAACGGGCTGCCTGAAGGGCTGGGAGTGAACGGCCAGTCCCAGGAAGCGTTCACTCAGGGCTCCCTAGACACAAAGGAAACATTTCAGACAGGAGTTACGGTTATTTAGAATCAATAACCTAAAGGTTCCATTCAGCACTGTCCGTGCATGTCACTTGCTAATCTACGCAGGATGTCCTTTTTTAGGCAGTACAAAAAGCAAAAGAGAATGCATTTTGGCTTTTAACTTGCTGTCAAAATTTAGTGTTGGGCGTGACCCATTCCAAACGTTAGTGGCAATCTCCCAGAGAAGGAGGAGGTAAAGGACACCAAGGGCGAAGGTGGCGGGGGGTGGGCTGGACGTGACCTACAGCGGCTGGGAAGGAGGGCGGCGGAGGGGAAGGTCTGGCCCAGGGAAGGGAATCTCTGCTTAGGGCTGTCCACTTCCCTCCTCACCCACTGAATCCACCACCTCGCTCCACCCACCTCCCATCTTCCAGTCTCTAACTTTGGGGACTGCTGACCTAAATCATACAAATCACGTGTTTCTCTGTTCCATTTGATGATAAAGACACATATCAGGGGAGAAAGAGGGAAAGACCCGAAGATGAAAAGAAAGGACTTCCCTGGTGGTCCAGTGGTTAAGACTCCACATTCCCAAAGCAGGGGGCACAGGTTCAATCCCTGGTCGGGGAACTAAGATCCTGCATGCTGCACGGCAAGGCCAAAAAAAAAAAGATGAAAAAGAAATCACAAACAATATGTAACCAGCACGATGAAAAAGAAATCACAAACAACAAGTAACCAACACAAACCACTGAAATTCAGCTCTCCATCTTCACAAAAGCGCAGTTCTGACTGCCAGTGGATGTGCCCTGAAATACCCAGCTCTCCAATTTTCCACTCATTTACCAACATACATGGTCACAACAGCCCAGCTTTCAGCCCCACAGCATTGCTGAGCAGGTCTCTCTCCGATGTGCTTTATTTTTTATTATTTTTTTAACATCTTTATTGGAGTATAATTGCTTTACAATGGTGTGTTAATTTCTGCTTTATAACAAAGTGAACCAGTTATACATATACATATGTTCCCATATCTCTTCCCTCTTGCGTCTCCCTCCCTCCCACCCTCCCTATCCCACCCCTCTAGGTGGTCATAAACCACCTAGCTGATCTCCCTGTGCTACGCGGCTGCTTCCCACTAGCTATCTGTTTTACGTTTAGTAGTGTATATATGTCCATGCCACTCTCTCACTTTGTCACAGCTTCCCCTTCCCCTTCCCCATATCCTCAAGTCCTTTCTCTAGTAGGTCTGTGTCTTTATTCCCGTCTTACCCCTAGGTACTTCATGACCATTTTTTTTTCTTAGATGCCATATATATGTGTTAGCATATGGTATTTGTTTTTCTCTTTCTGACTTAATTCACTCTGTATGACAGTCTCTAGGTTCATCCACTTCACTACAAATAACTCAGTTTCGTTCCTTTTTATGGCTGAGTAATATTCCATTGTATATATGTGCCACATCTTCTTTATCCATTCATCTGTTGATGGACACTTAGGTTGCTTCCATGTCCTGGCTATTGTAAATAGAGCTACAATGAACATTGTGGTACATGACTCTTTTTGAATTATGGTTTTCTCAGGGTATATGCCCAGTAGTGGGATTGCTGGGTCGTATAGTAGTTCTATTTTTAGTTTTTCAAGGAACCTCCATACTGTTCTCCATAGTGGCTGTATCAATTTACATTCCCACCAACAGTGCAAGAGGGTTCCCTTTTCTCCACACCCTCTCCAGCATTTATTGTTTCTAGATTTTTTGATGATGGCCATTCTGACTGGTGTGAGATGATATCTCATTGTAGTTTTGATTTGCATTTCTCTAACGATTAATGATGTTGAGCATTCTTTCATGTGTCTGTTGGCAATCTGTATATCTTCTTTGGAGAAATGCCTATTTAAGTCTTCTGCCCATTTTTGGATTGGGTTGTTTGTTTTTTTAATATTGAGCTGCATGAGCTGCTTGTAAATTTTGGAGATTAATCCTTTGTCATATTATTTTTTTTTGGCTGCATTGAGTCTTCATTGCTGCGCACAGGCTTCAGTGGTTGCAGCACGTGGGCTCAGTAGTTGTGGCTCATAGGCTCTAGAGCGCAGGCTCAGTAGTTGTGGCACACAGGCTTAGTTGCTCCGCGGCACGTGGGGTCTTCCCGGACCAGGGCTCGAACCCGCATCCCCTGCATTGGCAGGCAGATTCTTAACCACTATGCCACCAGGGAAGTTCCTCAGATGTGCTTTAAAAAGTGGCATCTCATATGTGAATTGGACCTAACCTTCTATCTGAACTTGTAAAAATTAACTTTTCACTGAAAAGTCATATGTATGGTAAAAATGCAAAAAATAATTTTTAAAATATGTAATGAAAGACATCTTCCTCTTACCTCAAGTCCCAAACGCCACCCACCCTCCTGAGACGCAAGAGCTATTACCAGTTTCTCCTATATTCATAGATGACTTCGGGCAGGATGTGTGTGTGTGTGTGTGTGTTAGAAACAGAACACATGTGTGAGCATGTGAATGCCCCGTGATGACATAAACAGATACAAACATCACTGTTCTGCCCCTTGTTCGTTATACCTGACAACATCCCACGCTGCAACAACACCTATTGTTATAACACCAATTAACTCGCAGACCACTGGTGCAGAGAGTAGAGAAAAACCTGTAAGTCATATTGGTTCATGTGTGATTTTCCTGCAAGGGGAGCTTAGCTTTGAATGATGAGAGCAGAATTGGAAGCTTCGGCTGGAAGGGAAGTAGCTCTCAACCTGGGGCCCTTTCTGTTGTACTTTAAGAAATTGTAAAAGGAGGGTCTGCATCGCCCAAGGGCTTGCACAGTCCTGGGCTTGCAGCAAGTGGAAGCCCTAGGAGACTCATCGTTGCTGTGCTGTTCCCCCAAACCAGCATTCCCACGCTATTTGAATAAATTATTATCCCCTGGGGCAGTCTCCAGTGCCACTGAGCTGTCCATCTGGACAGTCCAGGTAATCTCCCCAGGTACCAGTGATTCTTTCTGTTAATGCTCTGATTTCAAGGTTGCACCCATTTTGAATAGCCTCCCATTAACCCAACTTTTCCTTAAGGCAGGTGACGTTTAATGTGCATTGTTGAAGAACACGTGTCACGGCACAGGAACCTCTCTCCGGAAATCACACGTGCATTGGTACGTGTCACTCTGCTGTAGTTTTTTTCACAGCTGCTCCAGACACGCAGACCAGAAGGTACTAACTAGTCTCCAAACGATGCACATTTAGGCTAGGTCCAATTATTTACTTACGAAACTGATGCCATAATTAACTTGGTCAGATGTTCTTATGGACTGATTTGTGTCCTCCCAAAATTCATGTGTTGAAGCCCTAACTTCCAGGCCCTCAAAGACAGGGCCTTTAAAGAGGTGATTAAGTTAACATGAGGCTACTAGGGTGGGGCCCTAATCTGGCAGGACTGGTACCCTTACAGGAAGAGAAAGACACACCAGGGATGCACGTGCGCAGGGGAAAGGCCACGTGAGGACGCAGTGAGAAGGCGGCCATCTGCAAGCCAAGGAGACCAACCCTACTGGCACCTTGATCTTAGATGTCCAGCCTCCAGACTGTGACACATAAACTTCTGTTGTTGAAACCACCCATTTTGTGACATTTTGTCATGGCAACCTGAGCAAACTAATACAGATGGGTACTTTTCACCAGTCGTTTATTTCCCAGCATAGGTGGTCTGTCTGCAGTAACCCATCTGTAGGTGGGGTAGACCTATCAGGCAGGTAGATGGGAATTCAGTTCTGCTTAGAAGGTATTATTATTACTCGAGGACCACCCTGTGCCCGCTACCGTGTGATAGAAACCAGGCTTCAGAGTTTCTCAAGTGTTGCTGATACGTAAGCTAACTGGGTAGACGGGATTGATTCCCGAGCAACAGAATGTCCCCTGCGTCCTGCCCAGGCAGTGAAATGGGGGAAATCGCAGTTTTAATATCAGAGGGCCTGGGTTTGAATACCAGCTCCACTACTTGCCTTGTAGTGCCTGGGCCTTAGCAAACGAATCTCTCTAAATGCCTCCATTTACCCCACTAAGAAATACCATGTCTACACTGCAGAGCTAACATAAGAATTAAAAATAAAGTATGTAAAAGGCTGATCACATGGTAGACAGTCATTACACGAGCACTATCATAGTTTCTGGACTACGAATTTCCATTCATAATTAACATTTTCAAGTCAAGAGAAACTTCCGGCAACCACAGTTTGCCTTTCCGAGCTGTCACGGATGTACCAGTTGAGTAGTATAGACCGGGGTAAGGGCAGGTGGAAGCAAGGAATCTGACACTTCTCCATTACAAATTCATCTCTTTCGGTCTTACTCAAATTCATATTAACACACTCTTTAACGAAATGCAAATGCCTTTGAAAATGTAAGGCTTAATAGCAGAGATGTGAAAAAGGGGCTACAAGATGGGAGGAGGGATAAATTAGGAGTTTGGGATTAACAGATACACACTACTGTATATAAAATAAACAAGAAGGACCTACTGTATAGCACATGGAACTATACTCAATATTTTGTAATAACCTATAAAGGAAAAGAATCTGAAAAATACATATATGTAGAACTAAATCACTTTGCTGTATACCTGAAACTAAAACAACATTGTAAATCAACTATACTTCAATAAAAAATTTTTTTAAATGTTAAAGTGTGAAAAAATGTGCAAAAACCAAAAAGGTAAAGGGGTAAAGGGTAAGAGCCTGGGACTAGGTCAGTGCAGGGGGAGGTAAAGAGAAGATCACTGGAACAGCAACAGCTTCGTGAACTTGCCTTAGGATTTTGCTGACTACCAGCTATGCGGTACGGGCATTCGCCTAATGTCTTGTGACATGCCGCCCCTTCTTCAGCTGTCACGTTCCCCACGGACAATACCGCAAAGCTATATTTATAGCCAACGGTACAAGACCTCGCCAAACGAATGTATCCACGGAATTTGGGATATAGATGGAGTTTTGTGAAATTATTCTGACACAGCTGCCCAGTTGCTCATCCTACAATATTACGGAGAAGAAAACTCACTTGATTCCTCCCTCGAATCCTTGAATTAAACCTAGTGATCGATGAGATACTGTTTTATCCATCCTTCCGGATAACGTTCACACCATAATATTAAATGAGAAAGAGTTAAGACATCTAATCTCCCTCACCTGGAAAAGGCATATGGTTTTTGTTTGTTTGTTTTGCGGTACGCGGGCCTCTCACTGTTGTGGTCTCTCCCATTGCGGAGCATAGGCTCTGGACGTGCAGGCTCAGCGGCCATGGCTCACGGGCCCAGCCACTCCGCGGCATGTGGGATCTTCCCGGACCGTGGCATGAACCCACGTCCCCTGCATCGGCAGGCAGACTCCCAACCACTGCGCCACCAGGGAAGCCCAGGCATATGGTTTTTGTTGCTCATATTCCATTTGCATCAGTCCACTGGGTCACGAGTGCACCAATTCCAATACAACTGTAACACGTCCTTATTACAGCAACACTTCACTCCGAAGGGAGAAGGAGTCCTGCCCGAGAGGATCCTGGACGACTAAAGTTTTCTACCTGAGCGAAAAACTTTATTGTGTTATTTAGATGGAGA